GCTGCCCAGCTAACCCTAACCCTCGCCTTGTGTGTGTGCTGCAGACTCCCTTGGGGAGATGCCCGGAGGACTGCCACCCCCAACGCCTTACGCCACCCTGAGCGAGGAGTTCCCGCTTCTGCGCCAGGCCCACCCCAGAGAGGGAGAGGAGGAGGAAGAGGACGAGGAGGAGAGCGAGGGCCTGGGCCCGTCCTGCCAGCACTGCGGCCTGCCCACCCCTGGCCCGGCCCCCTGCTGCCTGCCCGAGCTGGGGGAAGAGGAGGGCTCCCCCAAGGGCCCCCGCGTGGTTTTCTCCTGCCAGCTGTGCCCCTTTGCCTCCCACTACTCCAGCCACCTCAAGCGGCACATGAAGACCCACAACGGGGAGAAGCCTTACCGCTGCCCGCACTGCCCCTACGCCTCTGCCCAGCTGGTCAACCTGACCCGCCACCTGCGCACTCACACGGGCGAGAAGCCCTACCGCTGCCCCACCTGCCCCTTCGCTTGCAGCAGCCTCGGCAACCTCAAGCGGCACCAGCGGGTCCACGGCCAGGAACGGCCCCTGCGATGCAGCGCCTGCAACTGCCGCTGCGCCCAGGCCGACCCGCTCCAGCCGCCTGGCATGGGGATCCGCCCGGGGGAAGCGGAGGAGGCGCCGCCGGTGGTGGACCAGGAGGCAGGTAGGTGGAGGAGGGAGGGGGGCGAGGCCCCGGCGGGAAGGGCCGGAGCAGGTGAGAGAGCCCACGTACCGGCTTGTAGCGACAGGGGCTGCGCCGAGATCTCCCGACACCGGGAGTCAAGCTGGGCAAGAGGGTCCAAGAAGCATTTCAGGGGCTGGGCTGGGCAAGGAGGCCGCCTCGCTCACCTCACCGCTCCTTTCTCTCTGCAGAGCCTCCGCCTCCACTGTTGCCCAGCTCCCCGTTCCTGCGGCCGGAGGACTCTGCCACGGTCCTGCCCGAACTGCTTTTCCCGTTCACTTGCCAAGCGTGCGGCCTGGTGCTGGAGGCCGACGAGGGCTTGGGCGAGCCCGTGTGTGGGCGCTGCAGCCTGGCCGTGCTGGGGGCCGAGCCCGCTTCCCCCAAGGGCTTCTCCTGCCAGCTGTGCCCCTTCGTCACCACTTACCCCAACCACCTGGCCCGCCACATGAAGACGCACAGCGGGGAAAAGCCCTTCGCCTGCGCGCTCTGCCCTTACGCCTCGGCCCACCTGGACAACCTCAAGCGCCACCAGCGGGTGCACACCGGCGAGAAGCCCTACAAGTGCCCGCTCTGCCCGTACGCCTGCGGGAACCTGGCAAACCTCAAGCGCCACGGCCGCATCCACTCTGGGGACAAGCCCTTCCGCTGCCGCCTCTGCTCGTACTCTTGCAACCAGAGCATGAACCTCAAGCGCCACATGCTGCGGCACACGGGGGAAAAACCCTTCCAGTGCCGGGTCTGCCCCTACACCACCGGCCACTGGGACAACTACAAGCGCCACCAGAAAGTACATGGCCAGGGTTTGGCCGAGGAGGGGGCAGGGGCTGGCCCAGACAGCAGCCTCCCCTGAAATGGGAGGAGGAGGAGGAGGCCGTTTCGCCCCTTCTGCGCTGGGGGGCTGAGCCCACCACTGCGGTGCCCAAGGACTTCTGCGCAGGGACAACGGAGAAGGCCCTCGCCGCCCCCAGGATCGGGCTCCTTCCAGCCTGTGTGACTCTGCCGCCGGGCAGGAGGACTGCAGGCAGGGGGCCCTTGGTGCTTTCCTATCTTCTGTGTGCCTCTCTTTCCCCTTCCATCTTTAACTGTGGTTGCTGCTTGCGTCTGTGTAATTTATATGGTGTATTCATGCATTAAACTGTTTTCTTATCTTGCTTTATTTTGCTCGGGGGCAGCGATCAAACCTGAATGCGCTGCAGTCCTGCCACAGCGGGCTGAAGCCCTTCTCTGTTGCCTTCTCTTGCTAGTGGTACGCGTGGTGTAGCTGGGCAGATGAAGGTGGTGGAAGCAGTGATCTCGATCCTAGGGGGTGCTCCTGACTCAGGATAAAGAGCAAGGGTGTGTGTGTGTGTGCGCGCGGGTAGCAGTATTCCTCAGTGGGAGCTTGGAAAATAGCATGCAGCGGAGGGAGGGGTTCAGAACACCCATTCCCAATCACGATCTGTTTAATTATTGCCACAAACATTTGTTAACGTTCATTCATAAACAGCAGAGAGATAAACAAGACGATGATAATAAGCCTAGCAGTTACACCAGCACCTAGGGTGAGTCCCATAGCTGCCGCTCTCCTCGGGCTACTTTGGGAGCAAATGTCCACTCTACCTAATTTGGCATGTATGGAGCAAAGCCCCCATCCGGCCCTTTCTCGGGCGGAGCGGGGTGGGGTGGGGGGCAAGGGAGCTGGCTGGGGTTGAGGCACGTGGACGAGGGCCACCCAGCAGGAGCTACGGTGTACATTCCACAGGGATGTGGCTCGGGCAGAGCTTAGCTGCTGTGCCAGCCTCCAGGCGCAAGGGCCCTCAGAGGTCCTCATCCCCAATGCCCTCAAAGGCGTAGTTGCCGTGGAAATCGTTGGCCCCCACGTCGGCAGCAGAGCTGGAATGGCTAATGGCCCGCAGGCTGACGGAACCCAGTTTGCTCTGTGGGCAAAAGAGAGAGAGATGGGGGATCCATTCAGGCCCTGCCTCTCCCTGGCCAGCTGCCCCGTGCGTGGGAGGGAGCAGGGGGACTCACCGAGACCTTGGCAATGGTTTCCCGGCTGGTGTCCGGTGAGTCCTAGCGGGAGAAGCAGAAGGATCAGGTAAAAGGCTGCCCAAGGGCCACCTGGGAAACCCAACAAGACTACGGAGAAGATGTATTTCAGCCGCACTTACCAGGAGGGGAGGTGACTTAGCTGCCTGCTGGCTGTTGGGGCGCTGCAGGGTGCCATTGTTTCGCCGACGGAACACCTGCGAAAGGGAAGCCAGCAAGGAGCCTAGAAAACCCAAGTCCTTCCGCCCCGCAAGACCCTGTAGGTGGTTCAGTTAGAGCTGGGTCTCACCTTGCGGATGCTGCCCCCTGACTTCTTCACCATCAGCTCATCCACCATGGACTGCAAGCAGATGCTCAGCATGATAGCCTAGGAGGGGGAGCAGAGGGAGAGAGAGAGCGTGTCCGCTTTGTACTACGGCCACCAGGCAACACAGCCTTAATTTTGTAATTTAAGAACAAGAAAAGATGTAGGTGGTAGCAAAATTAAAGGACCATGAACCTAAAGAGAATAAAGCACAGTTTGAATTTTTCTTTACAAGCAAAACTTGTCAAAATCAGACAAACTTTTCCAGATAGAAAATATGAGTGTGCCGTGGGGAGGGGGGGATTAGGGTTAAAGCTGCTGCAATTCTGTCAAGAAATGCCCTGTGCGGAAATTGATGAGGGAGCTGTACCTGTGGGCTGGTGATGGTGACCCACTGCAGGCGGTCCTTGCTCATCAGGTACTCGAAGGCCAGTTCTAGTTTGACCTCTGGCTTCCCTGCATTCAGCCCGGATGACGTCCCGTTGTGCACTGGGACCTGGAAAGGAGCAGGGGCAGATGGGGTGTCTCCCCGCTTGTGCGGCAGAGGGAGGGAGGGCACAATGAGAGCCTCTTCTGCCCCACCCCCCACCCCAATCATGCACCTGTCAAAGGTGCCCTTCCCGGGCAGGCTGCTCAGAGGCTTCTCCCCAGAGAGTAGAAGGCCTGCTCAGAAAGCCTGCACCTCCTCCCGGACTCACGGAAGAAGTCACCCGCCAGCAGCGCATCCGTGTGACTTTGAAACTCCCCTCTTTGATCTGGTCATTGGGCAGCTTGACCTGGAAATTCAGCTCGCTGTTCCCTGCGCCAACAATCACGTGACAACCCTTCTCGGGGAAGTCTGTGATGCAGGGGTCGAACTTGAGATAGCCGTAATACTTCAGGGTCTGTGCCAGGCGGATAAACTGCAGCAAAGAAGACAAAACAGCCGAGTTTGGGGCAGGGGTGCTTGCAGGCCATCAACTGGGGGGGACTCCCCCCCCCTGTGCATGCACATGCCCCCCGCCCACCTCCTTCTTGGAAACTTTCTCCTGCAGGGATTTCAGCTGGCGGTGCTGCTCCTTGTTGGCCAAGATCCAGCCCCGCTCAATGTCTGCAACCGTCTGAGAAAAAAAAAGACGAGAGTCTGCGTGGGGAAGCTGAGGACCAAGTCCTACCCCCAGCCCCCTTGCCGGAACCGTCTTTCACCTGGGCGTACAGGAGGTTCAGCCCTACACGTTGCTCCATGACATCATCATCGTAGGCAGAGTCCCAGTAGCTGATGGGAAGGAAGAAAGGCAGGCCATTGAGTGGAGCCGTGCCAGTGATGGAGCTGGCCATGAAAGGCTTCCTCAACGCCTGACCCCTAACCTGCCCCTGTCACCGCGGCATCCCCCCCCCTCACCTTTTGCGCAGGAGAATCTTGTACTCTGGATTTTGAAGGCTGGTGACTGACACGTAAGGCAACTCAAACTCCTGCAGCTTCCGTATAACTGCGTAAAGAAGGCAGTTCAGTCCCTGAGACGCACACGCTCCCCAGGCCCCCTTGTGCCCCCTATTCTTTTGCACTGCCCCAGAGACTTCAGGCAAGAAAAATTTACTCACAGGAAAACGTCCCATCCTGGGATTCACGGACCAGGAAGAGGTGGAAGTAGCCAATCAGGTCCTCAGGCAAGTCCAGCTTCGAAGCCACAGCCTATAAACAAACGAAGGGAAGGGGGTTAGAACAGAGGACCCCCAACCCCCCTCTGGTCCACAGCCTGGGGCGCAGGGGGGTGTCCTGCCTTCTCCAGCCGGTCCGCAGGGCTAAATAGGTTGGGGACTGCTGGGTTAGAAGACCGACCTCTGTGATCTCTCTCTCTCTCTCTCTCTCTCTCTCTCTCTCTCTCTCTCTCTCGATGCCTTTGACGAGTCCACTTTGGACTCGACCCAAATGCAGGAAAGAAAGCAAACACCCACCTCCAGGACATCCTCCGTCTGGTCCGAGGTGAGGATGTTGACCTTCACCTCCTGCCCGTTGGAAAGCAGGACTTCCAGCTGGACCTCCTCTGTAGGGATCTGCTGCGTCTCCTGTGGGGCAGAGGGAGGAGAGGGCTGTGAGGGGCTCTTTACCTTGCACAACCCCGGCCCTTCCCCCTCCCCCCCTCCGCAATACCTGTTGGGCAATACCTGTTGGGCTTTGCGCAAGAAGCTGTTGAAGATCTCGCTGCTTCCCAGCACGGGGTCCTGGCGCACTGC